TCAGCATTTGTCAAACCCTGAAATATTAGATGTCTATAAATATTTGCTGACATAAAATGGGATCTTTGCCAAATCTTTGCAAAAACCCAGGGAGGAGTTAAAAGATGAAAAAAAAAATGGAGAGAGAGAAGGGATATGTGTGTGCAAACTGCTAGCTATTATGAACAAAACATTTTGTTTAATCTATGAACAACTCTAAGAAAGACTTTAAATTATCTCCACTTTGCAGCCAAGGAAACTGAGGCTGAGAATAAATACAATCAGTCTTTTGAAGTAACACAGATAGTAAGAGTACAGATTCATCCTATCTTCTTTTGGTAAGAAGGGGTATGGAGAATATAGAAATGTAAATGTGTGTGACACTTGATCCAAGAGTTCAAAAAATTCATCCAGTAGATCTATTCAAATGAATGCTCAAAGACTCAAACACAAAGATGGTCATTTTGGTGCTGAATGGAATAGCAGTAAACTGGAACCAGTCTAAATATCTTTTATTGATGAATTGATTAAATAAAGTAAGGAACACCCATAAGAAAAGAGGCATTCTTGTATGGACTGACATGAAAAGGAATTCAAAGCATATTATTAATTGAAGAAAAGCAAGTTGCAGAACATTTATCTTTTTAAAATCAATGCATAAATCAAATGCATGCATATACAGGTACCAAAAATTCTGAAGAAATACATTCCACTTTTAACAGATTAGTCCTGGTAAGGTGTCTCTTGTCAGGTAGGGAAGAAGAGAGAGTTCTCTTTTTACTTTATTTACTTTATGCATTGTGTGAAAGTATACTTTCAAACAATGAGTCTGTAGCACCTTTATAATGAAAAGCAAACATATTCATTAAATCACATAAAAATGAAGCCTGGACATACTTCAATACACCATGTTGATGGGTAAAGAGTCTTACAGGGCAGGAAAACTTTGGAGGAAAGAGTTTAAAAACAGCAGGAGTTAAGAGGCAGAAGAGTCAAAGAAATAGCAAATACTGGAGTGAGTGAAGTTCATGCCAAAGTCCTTGATTTTTATTTATTTTTGGCCTAGACAATAGAAATTATTGTCTGTCAGTTCTGAAGGCTAGAAAC